TATATAGTCAGCTGTTTTTGTCATTTTCTTCATTATTGGGGAGACAACGAACTCTAGGTTCCTCTATTTAAAGTACTTTTAAAATTGAATTAAGGTATTGCATCATATTGCATAATGGAATGCATAATTTGTTATATATTTTGCTACAAGTGAAATTAGCGTATCATACCTATCCATGGAATAAGGAAGTTGTATGCAAAGTCGTCTTTCGGCTCTGAAAGCAGAATAAAAAGGAACACATTAATAAATGTCGTCCTGTCGAAATGGAAGCGTGGTAGCGTAGTTTATATGAATAGAAGCCACACCTGTGGATGCCAAAATAGTCTTCATGTATTCCGGGTGGTGGACATGCAGAACGGCTACGGATGGCCCGAACCACAAGGGAAAAGCCAGAGGATACGTCTCAACCCATTTTACGACCTTGTATAAATCTGTACCATCCTGGGGAAACTGCCCGATGAGATAAAACATCATAATAATTCCGATTATTTTAGTTTACTTTGCATTATAATTTACAATTGAAAATCAATACACGGTACACATCGGCCAACAATAAAGGCTGTACAGGGCCTACAAAAACAGCATTACAATTAAAGTGATCTGTATCAAAGATGCACCAACTCGTCACACAGAATATAAGTATATAAACATTTTCATCGGAGTTACATAACACGAATGATTTATAGTGAGTCCAACTGCGATCACATTGCCTATGGATGCATCATTTATGGTTGACAATCATGCAACACGACAACAAACCCATTAACTCTGTCGCATCAGGTACGGATGATGTTTTTGAGATCACCTTTCCTCTGCCAAAATACACTTAATATGGTTTGATGAACCATGAGAATGTAATCTGATATATAATCTCCTCTCCTATGCGTGGCGCAGACTGAGTATGCAACGGGTTACCGGAGCGTAATATGATATATGTACCTCATGGACGTGGCCGTAAAGCCAGTGTTTAGGTGGTCCCGGGAAAGGCTGAAGCACCCGCACGAATTCTCTCCTCTTCATTAGCAGCTTTGCCAGCTTGAACGCGATGGCAACTAAGCAAAAGACGCACGCCAGGTGCCAGACGCGCCTTGGCCAGAAGGGTAGCACGGCCGTGTCAAGCATCTCCATGGTCTGTGGAAATCACTGAAAACAAGAAAAACCACCTAATCTGTGTATGTACGGCAACGCAGCAGCTTATCCTTCAGAACCCGGACAGAGTACAAGCGTAACAATGCGACGGGGGTGGAGCTTCAGGAAACAATATTGGGAATCGTAAGCAGCCGATCATGCTGAGGTTCCTAGCCAAAAACCAAGCTCTTCCGGATGCTAAAAAGGTACATAAGACAAATAAGGCAAGGGACGCTGTTCATAGCACTACAAGGCAACTACGAGGCGGGACGTTGTTAACACATCTGTGTTTAAATGTCAGATTCTGCTGGGATATGCTCGCGGGAATCGCCAGGGTTCCTTTTTGAAAGAATCGTCTCTGTCTGGACAGAAATTAGAAATGCATTAAACAAGATGACGACGATAAAATAATAAAAATAAAACTTTTCGAATAGCCAAAAAATTATAAAATAGTACATATATCTTATATTGCTCACCTTGTCATTCACGTAAAGTAATACGACAGTATTTTATTTCGAACGACGCGTTTTGTAAATATGGTGAAGTCCAGCATAATAGATATTGTTTGACACCTTGACCTTAATTGTGTGACACATAAGTTGAATGCTTTTTGGTTCCGGGACATGTGACGCTGTTATTCCTCTCAGCTTTTACAGGTACACTAAACTCAGCTTTTGCCAAACCATATTCAGACAGCACCATGTTATTGTTTCAACGTTGAATTATAGTTAAATGCGTTGAATTATGGTCAGTGTTACATTATCAACGTTGAAACTGAATTGAATTTTTGGTCAGATTTTCAATATTGAAAAATTGATGGCGGCAAAACCTTGATTCAATGTTGATATAAAGTGAAACCATCCTGAGCAAAGTAAAGTCTTACATATTGCCAATTATCAGAGGAATGTGTTGATAACAGTGGATTCCTTGCCTTGTGCACGAAAATGTATCTTTGTGCATTGTGCTTACAACAGGAGACACCAATTCTTCTTGGGCCAATAAAATGTGGCAGTACAACTTTGCAGTCACAGGTTATTCCCAGATTTGCCCCATACACTTCTTGAGTTCTTTAAGGAAATGCGAATTATCTGTCCTCAACTTTTTACTCAACCGCGCGCTTGTGGGTTTTGAAGAAGTTGTGATACCGCAGACCACCATGCATGCACCGACTAATACATGTAGGATTTTTTATGTATTGTGCTCAGCTACTCGTGTTCATTGTTTTCCACTATAGAATTTCATATTCCATTCACATCTGTCAGTTACATTTATTTACATTTATTTGAGAGACGCTATTGTCTTGAGCAACATACAAATACGGCATTAAACACCAAACACCACGGTTACATGCATGCGTAGATCTCCTGCTCCGTACTACCCAAAATCTCATGCCATACTTGGCACGTGCTTTCTGAAGCGTACTCTGCATGGAACGAAACATTTGTTAGTTTTAACATTAGCAACTAGGGAGGCAAGAGCGATCAGTCGTTATTTCCACAGGGCTTTGACGACCTGTTTTCTGCATATTTTCGAAATTATCTTTAATTTTTGCTATAACGCTCTATAACACTGGTCTGAAATAACAGCTTCTTCTTTTGACTAGTAATTTTTCGTTAATATTACCCAGCTTCGGTCTGCCTTTTCTTTGGCTATATGCTGTGTTCCACTTCCTTAACGTTTGGGATAAAACGTTCTGTCGTGCCGAGCGGGGGTTTTACCCAGAATGCTACACGTACATGCACAATATGCTAAATGAGAATTTAATAAACCCGAAGGGTTGACGGTGTTTATGATGATATAAATACATTTCTTTAGTTTTTGAAAACCATGTTCCGGTATCTTAGATTTAAAAGACAGTTGACTAGGGACATTAACATCTGTTGTGAAGCGAAAACAATATTGCTTGAATATTTTCCTAAATATTGAAACACAAAGTTAATAGGGGCTGAATGGTGGTGCATGCAGTGGTTAGGTCTGTTGCTTCATACCTCTGGAACATAGGTTCAAGTCTCGGCCAGGACTCTGTGCACATGTGTGGAGTTTGCATGTTCTCGTTTTCCCAGTTTCGTCGCGGGATTTTCTCTAAGTCCTTTCTCCCCCATTCCACAATCAAATTATGTGTGAGTACGTGTGCTCTGCTATGGATTGACGCCACGTTCTGGGTTTTGCCTTTTGCCCGTAGGAAAATGAAGGGACGCAGATAATGCCACCCACAGGTTATAATTAAGAATTGCACGTGGTTAGGTATTTATTTATAATGTACGTGCGTCTCTGTAAATTATCCTAAAAACGCAGTTTTATGATCTAGAGAATATTTGTAATCTTGCTAATCTGAAGGCCATACGAAGTTTGGAGGTCTGTAGCTATTGACTGCAGACAGTTGGCGACTTCTGCACATTGTGCGCCTCAGCATGCGTTGTCCCCAATTTGTGATTTTACATGGTCTTCCACTTCGTGGCCGAGTTGCTGTTGTTCCCAATTGCTTCCACTTTGTTATAATACCACTAGCAGTTGACCATGGGATATTTAGTAGCGAGGAAATTTCACGAATGGACTTATTGCATAGGTGGCATCCTATCACGGTACCATGCTTGAATTCACTGTACTCCTGAGAGCAACCCATTCTTTTACAAATGTTTGTAGATGCAGTCAACTATGCCTAGGTGCTTGATTTTATACACCTGAGGCTTTGGAAGTGATTGGAACACCTGAATCAATGATTTGGAGGAGTGTCCCAGTACTTTTGGCAATATAGTGCATATTAGTTAGCCAGTTGCTAAATGATAATGGATTTTTATTTACTTATGAAGAGTCCCTGTCAGAGTACAATTATCCTGTTACCCCTAGAGAATTCTGTGTCATATCCGATACCATTCATAAGGGTACTATACTGCTTTTAGCATCAGCCTTGAAGGGCAAGAATTGTACACCCCCTAAGCTTGAAGAAAGATATCAATATTCTGTGTTCTTTTGGTTGTAACTGGTCAGTGTGCATTGTGTACGAATATTCTTTATGAGACAAACATTTACACAGCTAATAAAATAAGTACAGAAATCTTTCTGCTTTATTTTTGAAACGTAATCAACTAGGCAGCATAATGGTTAGGACTGTTTAAACAACCTAAAGTTGCTGGTTGAAGTCTCATAAGTCAATTCGCTCCTATAAAACAGTGATCTCTCCCTCCCTCCATCCTATGCAGGGCACAAAGCTGCATACACCCTGGACATCATTATATGAGCTATGTTGAAATAGACCTAAATGTGATTCTGGTGTAAACTTAGATTCCGTATTTTTATGTACCTTCAAAATACATGTATTTAAGGGTGCTGTAATGCAAGTACTGTCAAGAGATCAATTACTTTAGGGAGACCTTAGCGATCTGGGCTGTGATTGGACATTTATTCAAACTCATTGTTTGCGATAATTTATATGACTGCTTTTGGCTGTCATATTTTAATTAGGTTACTATTGCAGCCTAAAGCAAACGGTTGAGTAGTTCTTTACTTTCGCACTGTCAGATACAACTAGAAGAAAAAAAGGACATATATTATAGCGACGCCCAGCCTATGGCGGTTACTGAGCTGCATTTTTATCCTGCTAATTACCTTCTTCCTTAAATTCCTCCTCCTCCTGGATCTATTAGTGACGTAACACGTCGCGACGTTGAGGGCAGACTGTTACCACAGTAAAGATGGCGGCGGCCTACACCAGCTTCAATCTGTGAGTAACGACACCTCAATGAAACTTCCACCTTTCACTTTTACCTTGTGGCAAATCGCAGACGGCAGGCAATGTAAATTTTCACCGGTAGAAGGTTTGGAGCAAGTCGAAGGGGTTCGGTTTCCAGGGACTGGTCGTATCGGACAGATGTGCTGCCACTGCCATCACTGCCCAGGTGCACTGGGCAGATGCAGGATTGAATATTGCGACAGTTTTAAAATGAAAAATAAACATTCCGCATGCTTCCTTTGCGGTTAAAGTGAGCATATTTCCGCAGCACGGGAGTAGATAAATATTTCTCATATGTGAAATAATTACAGATAAGTTGGGCATGTTGGAAGAAGAAGAGCATTACTTAGCTTGATCAGTACAGGATGAAACGGGGTGTTGTGTAATATTTCGTGTAAACTGATATCTATATGTATTTAAACATTGCTTTATACTTACGCTTTGTCTCAGACTCACGTGTAGAGGAATGTGGTAACGGTACCGTAAGTTTAAAAAATACCCAGCATTAAGTTAGAAGAGAAATCTGTCGGAAAGGGACGGGGTGGCTCGCCGGCGCAGTCGGCTGTCCGGCTGCGGGTATTAATTTGGCAGGATGCTTGTCGCCAGACGGGCGTGCGGATCCGTCAGTGCATCAACAGAAGTTGATGTCTCAGCACGACGAAGTCCAGTACTGTGTCATTAAAGAGGAACATTTGACACCAACCTTGAGAGAAAAATCATTCAGTTTCGAGTGATGCGATGTTATTCACAAAACTAACACAATCATTACAGGAGGTGGGTGTGGGCCAGGAATCACTCCGGGTGTGACACTTTGATGACGTTTGAATACTCTGACTTTGTTTATTTTTGCCAACGGTGAACAGTAACAAAGTACATTTACTTGAGTACTGCACTCAAGTACATTTTTCGAGCACCTGTACGTCATTTGAGTATCGGTTTTTTGGAAACTTGTGACTTTTACTCCACTACATGTAAAAGACAAATATTGTACTTTTGACTCCACTACATTTCTATATAGGTTCTCTTTACCAACTAAATTAGCGGAAGAATTTTAAGTGCGATAGTGTGTTCGTTCAAAATACGAAACCAATCACAGTAAACTACTCCTAAGCTGTCTGTCAGATTGCTGTTGGGCAGTTATAAAGCTAGAGGTGCGTAACTGGGTTGGTTGCTTTAATTTTTCATTTTCTCAGAAAGTTCCATCTACAGCAACTCTACTGTCACACACTCACACACACACACACACACACATGGCCAGAGCTGTGTCAGAACATTACCATGCTGTTTTGTGGGAGTGGGATAGGGAGGATGGTAATTTAAATGAAAATGACAATGGATGTCCTTCTGTTGATTCAGTTGTGTTTCTTTAGTTATTTTATCATGTTCCACAAGCTTTTTATTCTACAGGTGTTTATTATACATTGTGGCAACAATACATTAAAAAGAAAACATACTTTCGAATTCTTAAGTATTTTTATATCAAGTACTTAAGTACTTTAACTCAAGAAGAATCTGAGTGAACAACTTTCACTTGCATTGGAGAAATATTTGACCTGACGTACCTATACTTTGACTCAAGTCTTGGAGTTGTGTATTTTGTCCACCTCTGCCTTTTGGCAATAAATTTGCGTACTTAATGGATAAACAGAGCATATATACATTATTCTTCTGCATGTGTTATAAAACTCAAGCCGCCAAACACGCAGTTCCAGGCCAATTAGAAACATTTCTATTTCATTTCCATTCTGATTATTGGCATCCACTATATTTTATCAGCAGGCAAAGTGTACAGTAGAGGACATTGATAATAATTGTGCATTTCTAGAGGCTTTTATTACAGTGCTATGCCTCTTGGTACATTTTGATATCATGATTCTGTTCTGGATGTATTTACATTTGCTTTATTCAATAGATGCTCTTGAAGTGACATTCAAGTTAGTTGAATAGTACATTATAAAAATAGTCTCTGGAATTTCATTTATTCCGTTTGTCTTGTTTAATGTCTCTATTTCCGAGTTCAGGACCCATTTGAAATACACTCAGATGCTGTTGTCTCAAATGAGTTAGCATGTTGGATTTGCTTCAAGCAACACACCCAAGTTCGGTATAACAGGCAATATTGTCGAGGTTGCCACAGCAAACAACAGCTGTCACAATCTGCTCCACCCAATTTGTCTTTGTCTTGTCTGGTGCTACGCCCCTGGATGTGTAACTCACTGTAGACTTATTCTTCTTTACATGGCTGAATTGGATCCCAGCCACCCAGGCATCCTGTGATTCTGTAAAACTACTTTCTCTAATGGTGCTTTTCCACTGCCACCAAGATCTGACCCGTACTGCAAACTGGCGGTTTTCCATTGTAAAGTATGCGAGCCGTACCCAAACTGCACCCACGCTGACATGGCCAAAAGTATGACTAGACAGTGTTGGTTGCGTCACCAGTAGGACTGCAGCTATCGATTATTTTAGTAATTGAGTTTTTTATCGATTATTTCATCGATTAATTGAATAATTGGATAAGAAATACTTTTCTCATTAAAGAACAATAGTAACTTTTCAAAAAAGAAACAATAGACAGGTGTCTTAAAATGAACAATTCACGGGTTTCCTTTTTAGGAACATTTTTATTGATTGAACTCCATACAACAACTGACAAAAGAACTAAAGCCTTTTAGTGCATTTATGTACATATTTATTTATTTATTTATTTTATTTTTAAGAAAACACTTTCTTGAATGTAAAATAATGGCAAAGTGGATGGGAGCAGCTGAAAACATCGCTTTTCTTCACCTTTCAGCTTGTTGAACAGCTGGTTTGATTAAGATTGCCATTGTTTTCCATCACTCCACCTGAGTTCACCATCTCTGTAACAAAACCGTCTCTTTGCTCTTTGCTGTTAGTGTATAGACAGACTCCAGCTCTATGTTAATTAAACTACGACAGCATCATTTTCACTGCTGTTGTATTCTCAGTGTTTTTGTTGGGGGGAAAAATAGAGGCTGCTTGGGCTGAATCTTGTTATATTTTTGTATTCACACGTATGTCGATAAATAGGTTTCTATCGCAGGTCAATGTTTAGCCGCAGATGTGAGTGAAACGCTCACGCTTACCTTGTGTTGGTTCCACTCTGTGGACTGTATGCTTTCTGTTGAGATGTTGAATCATTGATGTTGTGCTATTGTGGTAAGTTAATTTGGTTTTACAATGGACACATTGTACAGTATTTTCACTTTTCTTTTGTTTGAAATGGTCCCAAATGTTAGACATTTTTCGTCTTTTTCTCTGACTTTCCTCGCTATTTTCCCTGTCTTCCTCCATTGCGCCATCAAATCAAACCTGCTACACGTACTGCAGCGTAAGCACACTGTGCAACAGTAATAAATCTCAGAGTGAAACACTGTGATCACTAAGCAGTACATAGTCGTGCGGATTACACGAAGCATCGAAGCAAAGAATTTGCATCAAGGATTTTTTTATAATCTAGTATTGAGTTACTTGATGAATCGTTGCAGCCCTAGTCACCACCATCTAATTGGTTGAAATGCACAGAGATACCGGTGTTCTATGCGTGGATTTTCTGGCCATTACACTCTCAGGAACTTTTATGACATCCTATTCTAAATCCATGCCTAAATCCATAGGCATCAATATGGAATTGGTCGCCCTATACAACTAACAACTGCCACTCTTCTCGGAAGGCTTCCCAGAAGATTTTGGAGTGTGTCAGTGGGAATTTTTGCCCATTAATCCAGAAGAGCATTTGTGAGGTCAGGCACTGATCTTGGATGTGAAGGTCTGGCTCACAATCTCCACTCCAATTGTTCATCCCAAAGGCATTCCAGTAGGGTTGAAGTCAGGGCTCTTTACAGGCCAGTCAAGTCCTTCCACACCAAACTCACCCAGCCATATCTTTATGGACCTTGCTTTGTGCACTGGGACTCAGTCATGCTGGAACAGAAAAGGACCTTCCCCAAACTGTTCCCACAAAGTCGGGAGCTAAGAATTGTCCAAAATAGCTGATCGATGTAAATACAGGTTATCCCCCGCTTTTCACAAATTTCCTTTACGCCACTTCGCTTTTCTGGTTCCGCTAACCAAAAGTAATCTGAAGAGGATTTTCACTTTAACAAAAAAAACGTGAAAACGTTTGTTTCCGGCGAGTGCGAGAGGCAGCGCACACCTCAAGCAGAGACGGGGGCACCATCAAGCTCCTTCCTGGGAAACTACACTCAGCATCTCGGCATCAAGCCGCCATACTTTTGAACTGTGCGAGCATCTGCGTTTTATCTCAGAAATCTATTCGGATTTCTTTCACGTAGCGAAACTACAATGTGCATACATATTGCGTACTTAAAATAGGCTGCGTGTATATAATATCATTCTTGCTTTTAATATATGTTAATGTTATTTTAGGTTTTATGTGCAATATGGTATGATTTGGTAGGTTATATTTTGGGTGTGAGAACGCTCAAAAACGTTTTCCATGTAAATTAACGACAATTGCCTCTTTACACCATTTCGGCTTACGAAAGGTTTCATAGGAACGTTCTACTTTCGGAGGGTGGGGGAAACCAGCATTGACGTTAGTTTGGCTTCTCTCCCCTCACAGCCATATGACCCCTGAGAAGTTCTTCATTGAGGCCTGCGATGAGGGAGCCGGTGATGTGCTGGCCATCGATAGGGTTTCCACTGAGATGACCCTCACAGGTACAGGTGGACCTTGAATTGGCAGCTTCATGGGATTATTCATGTTTTTTCCTTATTTCACAAGTGGTGGCACCATCTACCACAGAGTCTTTGCAGATGATCAATACCAAAATCTGAGTTTGTGTATGGCTCTGATCATTGTATTTCCTGTCAAATGGCCCATTTTTAGAATGCCTTATTGCGAATAATACTTGTTCAGTTGGAAATGCTGATGGTTATGAAGGTGCTAAAGAGACAATGATGATGTTGAGATGTTAGGGATGGTCATGATTGTTATCCATGTGCTTTTGATCCACCTTCAGTGAAGAAAGATGTCCCCCCCTCTGCTGTCACTCGTCCCATTGTTGGAGTCATGGGAACCATCCATCTGGTGGCAGGTGAGTGCTTAAGATGAGGGTCACGTGATTTGCCTCTAGCAAAAAGGAGTTTCCCCCACTGGAGACCCAAGTGCGTCATTCTTTATCAGCAGATTGGTGATCTCACTTCTCAGCACCACTGCTGGGCCTCTTATTTACAGAGGACTGCCTTGGCAGAACTTGCATCTGGTCACATTCTCAAGCTGTGTGTTCAGGGCTGCTAGTTATTACAAGATCTTTGCTTTGGTGTGAGGTGGCAGGATTATACATCCTATTCTTACAGTTTGTAAATCAGCATCTCACACAGTGAAAATAATTAGATAAAAGTAAAAAGTGCTCTGTGTCACTGTAATGTTAATTACTGTGTTTATTCTACAGTGATTTTCATTCAAAGCATCATTTGAGATGCGCATGAAAATGATGCCATTACAGATGCCGGCATGCAGTCAAGTATCACTCTTTTTGGTTTAGAGCTGTACAAGCTGTACAATCAGACGTAGGCAACTTCAGACTCCCTTGGAATACTTGATAGACAGCTGTGCTCCCCCAGGAATGTACCTCATTATCATCACCAAGAAGAAGAAGGTGGGCGACCTGCTTGGACACACGATTTGGAAGGCCACAGATTTCGACATCATCTCCTACAAAAAGACGATGCTACACCTGACAGACAGCCAGGTGATGCAATGGCGCCCCCTGCTGGATGATATTATTACTCTGTACAGTAGCACCTTGGATTGCGAGTAACTTGGTCTATGGGGTGCTGCGGGATTGTGGGTAATCGTTTCCCATGCTCGATCCCAGTCGGCGTGCCTCACTCGTATAGTCAGAATTTAGTAGAAAAACACCACCCGAATAAGGGCCTAGCAGTGCGAGCGATGAATCTGTTTAACGACAATGCAATGTCCACATTTCCATGAAATCAAAAAGGAGGCAAAAGCAGCTGCCATTGGATGGGTTCCTTGTTAAAGTCGCACAAAAAGAAAAAGATTCCAGTGAGCCAACAGATAGCAGTGATTCCGTTAGTTATAGTGAAAGTCATCCTACAAAACAACCCTCCTCCTCTCTCTCGTCTCCCTCACACCATCCACGATTCTTTTCAAATGTAAAGTGCAGGTTAATTTGTTTTTCGTATTTTTACTTTATATTTTGTATTACTTATTTTTATATGAATATTTTTGGGTTGTGGGAAAATTTGCTTAGATATACGAATGCTTTGGATTACAAGCACGTTTCCAGAACAAATTATGCTCGCAAACCAAGGTACCGCTGTAATCTGTTATATATCGTGGTGTGTCTGAGTAAACTATACAGCCCACGTCTGTCCCACGGAAGAGAAACACTCTCCAGTACTTGTGTATTTGAGTGGGAATGCTTGGGTGTCTGTGCAGACTCTGTTCACCTCACCTGGGATTTCAGAGCCTTCTAGTCTCCAGAGAGCATTAGTCCCTGTCCTTGTATCTATGGAGACTTCTGTGGCTGACCCCTGCCTCTCCACTTCCCTCCATCCTCAGATGCAAGACAACAAGGCCTTCCTGTCCATGCTGAACAACATGATGACCATGGACGGCTTCTACTTCAGCTCCGATTATGACCTGACCCACAGCTTGCAGAGGCTGGCCAACACCAGCCCGGAGTTCCAGGACATGAGCCTGCTGGAGAGGGTAAGAGTTTTGGGAGATGGGTGAGGGGTGTATTGGAGGAGAGAGGACGGTCTGAGGAAAGCTGTTTTCAAGCTTTATCTTGGTACATTTTACTGGAAATTTCCATAGGCTTCTATGAGAAACTGTTGAAAAAAACTGTTGCTTTTCAATGGATAATTGGTTGGCAAAAAAGAGTAAAAAATATCCTTTGTTTTCTTTGAAAAAATATTTAAATGTGATATTTCTAGCAATTTTTGCACTTTGATTTTGAATCAAAGCGCTGACCTGCTGCTAGCTACTGCGAGAGTGGAAGTAGAAGCACAGGACTGCAGAGTGTAACTGAACAAGAGAATGGAAAGTAAGACAGGGCCATGGAGTATTTAATCTCAGGGTAAACTATCCTGCATTCCACGTAAAATAAGAATGAGAGCCCTGCATACACTAGAAAGGCACATTTCTCCAGCTTCCTCCAACAGTGCCCACTCTCCCATCCAGCTAACCCTGTTTAAATCCATAAGCAGTACATTCCAGGCCTGCTGAGCCTGGCCATGGTGATCAGTCATCATTAGGGTCACCTAAACTTCACTGCTTTCCTCTGTAATGCCAATTGGCTGCCTTCATTTCTCCAGTGCATTTTGGAATTTGTCATGATTCTGTTAACAACCTGGCTCCCCCTTGCGGGCAGTCTTATACAGTCGTCCTGGATCTCAGCCAGCTCAGCCAGGCAAATTGAGACTGTCAGTGTTTCTCTGATTTGCAGGCTGATCAGAGGTTTGTATGGAATGGACACCTGCTGAGAGAATTTATCGCACAACCTGAGGTAAGAGCTTAAAGTCAAAATTAATATGCAAATGTTTGCGTACATTGATTATGCAGCCTGCATGAATACAAGTTGAATAGGAATGCTGCTGAGTTTCAGGCTCAGTGCAGATGTGAGTGTTGCTGCTTTGACATGCATGGTCCACATGTTTGAGTTGTTTTTTAACATGTGTTTCCTGTAACAGCTGCACAAGTTTTCTTACCCTGTCCTTCATGGATGTATCCTTCCCATTGAAAGGAAATGAACCCCCCCCCCCATATGACAGTGATATATATGTCGATGTATATGTAATGTATCAGGACTAGGATTTATTTTTTGTAAATGCTGAAATTCTTATCAGACTTCTGCCGATAATGTAGTTCTTTAAAAACGTGTAATTGGAAAAGTCAGATCAAAGCCAAGGTGCGACGGGTTGGAGGGTTGCCTTAACCAGTAGGTCTCAGTCATCAATGTGAAGTCCGGTTGCATCAATGGGAAGGTCTTCGACTGGGTCCTCATTTCCCGTAGAAGCTGCTTCCGGGCTGGAGTCCGCTACTACGTGCGAGGTGAGACGCCAGTTGGTTGTTGTTTCGAGTCCCTGTCTCCTACCTGTCCTGGTGTCTTGATGTCATTAGCCCTGCAGTGCAAAGGTGGTTGGGGTTTTTCCCAGACTCACCTCAGCACGGGTCTGTTCTGTACACCCGGCAGGAATTGACTCAGAGGGTCACGCTGCCAACTTTATAGAGACAGAACAGATTGTTCAGTACAATGGAGGAAAAGCCTCATTTGTGCAGGTGAGTTTGGGGAGATGAAGACATGTCAGCCTGTTTTAGACACTAACTGCTGTGTTTTTTTGTTTTGTGGAAACGGCAGACACCGATGAGCTCTTGTTGAACGCTCTTTCAGCATGTCCTGTGTTAAGCCTCAGTGAAGTCTATAAGGGCTTCTCCTTAAACATGTTTGTGAAATGGGGCCCTTGTCCATTGAAATCACTATATTACCCAGTTTGTAATGCCAAAGCTTTCCCAGAATCCTCTGCATTCCCAGGCCGAGTCCCCGCTTGGGGTTTCGGCACGTTGATGCTCTCGCTGTGCTTCTTTTCACAGACCCGAGGCTCTATTCCTTTCTTTTGGTCTCAGAGGCCAAACCTGAAGTACAAACCCAAACCACAGATCAGCAAAACCACCAGCCATGTGAGGCGCATCTTTAAACCCCCCTGAGCCCCCTTTTGTGCAACTACCTGGTCTGATGTCTCTCCCAGTTAAAGGCCTGTGGTGTTTCTCCATTCGGTTCACAGTTGGATGGCTTCCAGAGGCATTTCGACTCCCAGGTCATCCTCTACGGCAAACAAGTGATTCTGAACCTGGTATGGCTCCGTCATCCCCATTCGCCGTCTGTTGCTGTCTAAAGCCGCATTTATACTCAGTGCTCACAATGCCTCTGCTTTGTGGCCACCATACATATCCTGCGTTCATTTCACACGTTGTTTATGAATGAACACTGAGTGTATGATCGATGCAGTACCACCAAAAATCTTGGGAGCTGTATGGTAAACTTTTATATTTATATACAGCATGCTAGTATTAAAGTAGCATTTATTTTTTAAAGATTGGTATTTGTGGGGGGAGGGTTACATTTTGCTAAAACATTTATACTCTGTCATAGGAAATAAAACTTAGCAAACTTTGCAATTCTAATGATGGGTCCTTTTCAAGATTATCTAGTGTATGTTTAGAATAGTAAAGTTTACCTCTGCTATTTTTGTATGAACTCTACATGCCAATCATAATTATTTTCATATTTGCTATGTACATCACTCATAGGTGGGTTTGTCAGAAATTAATTATTTTTTAACTTCTGTTTGCTTTATAAAAATGGCAATATTTAGATTGATGTAAACCACGCGTGCAAGTATGAGCAGCAACACCGCTTGCATAGCAACAGTGTATGTAACCCAGAGGTGGCCAGTCTTATCCAGAAAGGGCCTTTGTGTATGTGGCTTTTCACTGCAGCTCTGTTGAAGAGACCTCACACCTGGGTTTGAATAGCTGACCTACAGGTTATCCCTAAAACCTGCATACACACCGGCCCTTTGCGGATAAGATTGCTCACCACTGGTGTAACTGTACGTGTCACAAACGTCGAGTATAAACCACTTGGCCTTTTCAGCATCGGTGATTGGTGTGTGTTTCCGCAGGTGAATCAGAAAGGGTCGGAGAAGCCATTGGAACAGGCCTTCGCCAAGATGGCTTCCAGTGTGGCCAATGGGATGGTCAGGTCAGGGCTCCTCCATCCCATGATTCTCACTGGTTTGCGGCTGTTCCTGACACCGCTGAGTTCCTTTGTCTGTATCTGATGCTACAGTAAAATGTTCTTCATTGTGCATCTTAATTTCTGTCCAATCACATGCTTTCCCTGGGTTTAAAAATGAGTTAGTCCCTTTCCTCTGAGAAAGGAAATTTAGATTATGGACAGTTTCCTCTACTGTGGAGCTTTGTATGACCAAACACGTCAAACACAATTGCAGTAAATGAAAGTAAAAATGCTGTGATTAGCTGAACACATCTGTAAGGGCCACAATGAAAGCCTGCAAGGTGATGCCTCACTCAGCCCCTCCTTAGAACAGAACGTTGCACCAAAAACTGAAGACTTTTGTTGTTAGGTTGCCAATGTTTTTCTTCCTCCTCAGATATGTAGCCTTCGATTTCCACAAGGAGTGCAGCCAGATGAGGTGGGACCGGCTCCAGATACTGGTGGACAACGTGTCTGAGATGCAGGATGAGTTTGGGTGTGTTGAGGACCTACCTGCTGGTGGTAACACAGCCCAACCCCGCACTAATGACACTTACAGCATGCGGTTCTGTCTTTCCTGACACGACGTTTGAAACGTGTTTCACGTGAGCGATCGCCCGCGAATGATCTTCATCCTGCGACTCTTCCTTGGCGCCCAGCTACTTCCTGGTGGACCCTGAGGGCGTGGTGCTCACGCAGCAGGAGGGCACGTTTCGCAGTAACTGCATGGACTGCCTGGACCGCACCAACGTCATCCAGAGCCTGCTGGCACGCCGCTCACTGCAGTCGCAGTTGCAGGTGGGGAGGAGGGGCCTCAGGCCACACCCCCATTCAGTCAGCCACACCCTGGCACAGATAGCCACACCCTCAGCAATTCCACCACACCCCTTTTCAGATAAACACACCCCCATCCAGTGAGATTGCTTCCATATATGATGGTGAATTGTTATTATCGCTAAATTATTGTATAGTCCAGTAATTGCCTCTTTGATCAGCAGTCCATGAAATGGTTACATGCTCACACAGTCCAGCTATTCATCCCTGATTGCTGTCTTTCCAGAGGCTGGGCGTTCTTCATGTGGGCCAGAGGATTGAGGAGCAGGCAGACTTTGAGAAGATATACAAGAACGGTGAGTCCCTCTCCGTTGACTCTTTTCTGACGCCCTGGTCGTCCTCCGCAGCGGTCTGACCACGCCCCTCTGCCCTCCATCCAGCCTGGGCTGACAACGCCAATGCCTGTGCCAAGCAGTATGCTGGAACTGGGGCCTTGAAGACTGACTTCACAAGGTGACGGGCTGCTGTAGTGTAGGAGGCCATGAGTTGGGGCACAGACTTGCGCGTAGCCTGCAAGTGGATGTCAGTGGTGCCTCATCTTTTCAAGTTTTTTTTTTTTGTTCTTTTCTATGTGACAGAACTATTAGACCTACAGTAGCAGTCAAAAGTCTACACACACTTGCTTTTAATGCATTTGTCTCTATTTTTGTTGTTATCGTTGTTATCCACCTTAAAGTAAATGGCCTCAAGGCAATTAAGTAAAACATATCAAATATTGCAATGACCAATAGAAGTGTTCAACATCTCGAAGTTTTCTCAGATTTTAGACTCTTCAAAACATCCCCCTTTTGCTTCGATGACAGCATTTGCAGACTCAGATGTAGCCACCTGGAATGATTCTCCAATTGTCCTGAAGGAGTTTCCACAAGTTCTGGGCACAAGTCAGCTACCTGCTCTTACTCTTAGATCCATTTCATCCCAAACCAGCTCTGTGGGGTTTAGGTCGGGGGGGCTGTGGGGGGCAGGTCCTCTGTCAGCACTCCACCTCTTTCCTTGTCCACAGGGTAATACTTGCAACATAACCACGAGAAGTGCTTATGGTCACTATCTTGTCCAAAAACACATGATTTTCAGCAGGTGTGTGCAGACTTTTGACTGGCCTGTATAATAACCTAAAAATTCTCATGCACTAAGGGCCATATCATTAGCAACCGTGCAAGTCCAGTCTGATGATGCTGTCTGACCTGTCACTGCCGCCCCCCAGGACAGGGAAGAGGACATACTGGGGGCTTTTAATGGATGGCTGGAACTCCATGATCAGATACTACAAGAACAACTTCTCTGATGGCTTCAGACAGGTGCTCTGTACTGACACCCGTGTGTGTGTGTGTGTGTGTGTGTGTGTGTGTGTGTGTGTCTGCCTGCTGTGAGTGCCCTGTTTAGTAAAAGCCTCTTTGTTCTCTACTTTCACTTGTAGGACTCTATCGATCTGTTCCTGGGGAACTACATGGTGGACGAGGTGGACATGTCCACACCCCTTCAAGTCCAGAGGGACTGGAAATTCCTGACGGTGGGCTGGAGCCTGGTCTCATATTTTATCCCTCAACCAGACGTGAAGCTCACCATCAGCCATAAGTGTGTCTGTGTGTAGGTCATCACTGACGTCTTCCTGCCTGCCTTTCAGCTGCCTGTCATCATGGTGGTGGCCTTCTCCATGTGCATCATCTGTCTGCTCATGGCCGGTGAGGAAGTTTTATTTTCCCTTTCGCGCTACGCCTCCGGTATTTCTGAGACGCCCGGTAAAATATTGCCATGAAAAGCTTAATAGGAATTAATGTCATTATTCCAGCCTAAAAATAAACCCTTCATTTTAAGCTCAACACATGGCTTAAGACACCAGATCCTAGCCAAGGTTCCAGAGCTTGTTGTTGGATTTCTGCCAGGAACATGGCAACAATCTGAAATCCTATTAGTTCCCAGAATTATGTTAACAGCTGAAATGAGCTTCTGGCTCTGGCTGGATCAGTGATATTGTAGTTGGTAGGACATGGGATGCTTATCATCAATAGAAAATACAAACTGCCATCTCCACCCCCCCCCCCCCCCCCCCCCCCCCCCCCCCCCCACCGGTCAGGTGACACGTGGACGGAAACCTTGGCATATGTGCTCTTCTGGGGCACGGCCAGCATCACCACGGGGGGCGTCATCCTCATCAACGGTCGGGAGTTTGTGGACGCGCCACGGCTGGTGCAGAAAGAGAAGATGGACTGAATGTGCACGTGTGGAAAGCGGCCGAGAGTGGCAGACTCCTCCTTCGCCTCCCCGCTCTCCTCCTCTTCCTCCCAGCTGAGCCGGGGCTGGAGCCTGTACTGATGGCAGTGGGGGGGGAGGGGTCCGTGGCCCGGAGAGGTCTACCCGGACCTGCCGCTATCCACACCCCACGTGTGGAGGGAACGTGGCATCCTCCAGCTCTCTCCTCTGCCCTCCCATGGACAGGGAGCACGAATCTGAGACCATCTGCCACCACCGGGGGGCTGTGACCTTCTTGTGATCAACGTCTGCCAACGAATAAGTCCAAATATCTGTGTTTTCCTGGGAGTGGGTGTTTTTCAGGCCTTCAGAAACGCTTGTCGTGGTTCTAGCAACAGAATATTTCTTTCTATGAAAATCTGAAGGCTTTGAGCACTATATCCCCCCCCTTCACCTGTACATGCTTCCATGCTTAATATTCACTCCCTGTTTAGGTCCTGTATTCTCTCTGATATACAGAGGAAAACTCAGCTTATTCCCATACTTATGAATGATTTGAATTTGAGTTATGAATTACAGTCATTAAACCAATGAATGACTTATACAAGTACATTGGCTTATATCAGACCTATTTTAATCTTCCTGTTGCCGGGAGTTCAGCCTTAATACGCAGCCCTTTGTGATGGATCTGTATGAGGAAGACTGAGGGGCTCATTAGGAACGTCACACTCGCTGGGTGTGGTTTCATTGCTCCTTGTTTTTTCCCATGAGGCAGGACCAGCCGGCCCAGGAGCAGATTGCAAGTTAGTGTGCCATCGTCAGCAATCCTCTCACTTGCATCCTGTTTGTTTTAATACTCAGATCATCTAGTGGCAGGTTTGCTGGGTTCGGGGGTGAGGCTGAGCATAATGGGTGAATGGTTTGTATATAGTGTAACACGTTATACAGTATTTCTCATTCTGTTACTGGCTATCAGAATGACTTCAGCCTATCAGAGAATGTGATGATCTGTTGCTATGACTGACTGTAATTAATGTTGTTGCACCAGTTACACATATAGTGCCAGTGAATGTCTCTGTAAAAGTAAATCTTTGACCCCGGGCAGAACATGTGCTGGATTCTGTTTATTATTTTTTTTCTTTTACTGAATTTTAACTTTTGTTGTAAACATTTACCTTGGTAAATAACTAAAGAGGTGTCAGTTTGGGGAACTACTTTGTAGAAGCATGGATTCCATGCCAGACTGTAAGGGTTTGCTCACTCGTGTGTGTGTGTCTGTCTGTCTGTCTGTCTGTCTGTCTGTCTGTCTGTGTGTGTGTGTGTGTGTGTGTGTGTGTGAGTGAGAGTGAGAGTGAGAGAGAATGTACACATTTCCTTGGTTTGGTTGTACATAGTAGATGTCTTGCTATTTCTGTGTGAGTTACATGCTCTGGTAGCACTTTACTTAAAGCTGTCATCATAATGCATTATCAATACCTTCATAAAGCATTATAAACACAGGCATAAATATTTATAAAAACACAATACATTATAGCCATCTTTTTTATGCATTGGGAATGCCTTATGAAGCCCTCATCTATAATGCACTATACCTTCATAATGCATTATAATGGTCAGTATTAAGGATGTTTTGTACTACATTATAAAGGTGTCTATAGTGCATTATAGATGAGAGCTTCATCGAGAATTCATAATGCACAATAAACATGGCTATAATGTGTTATGCCTTTTTATTAATAGTTTTAGCCATGTTTATAATATATTATAATGCATTATACATGACTGCTTTAAGTAAAGTTACCAAAGCTCTTCTAATCGGTGAGAAGTTCTGCTCTAAGCCAAATTGAAGAAAGCCACATGCCATTCCTGTAACTTCCTAAGAAGCCCAACAGGCACATTGAAAATATAGCACTGTCTCCATATGTGTGGCTGCTGTCCATGTACCGTGGCATGATACTCATGGTAGGGAGCAGTTTTGTTTCTTCAAGGGTTCCATTATCTCTTCTAGAAGAAATGCCATTTTATTTTTTGTTACCTTGTATGAATGTGTTCATGCTACATAAAATGATGGTTCAGATGAATAATGTACGCAGGACTGTTGCGTGATTTTTGGTCATTTCCCCTTCTTCTGTTTAGCTGGAATGTTCTATTTTCCAATAACTTTGTAATAAAAGCCGTTATAAAAAATATCCCAGGGTTCTTCTGTCATTAGAACTGAATTAGATGGAATGAACATGAGAATGTTGGGCCTGTGGTCTGCTCTACTGGCCATAGGGTCGATTGGCTGAGATGCGGGTCTAAGTAGGTTCAGATATGGGTTGCAACTGCGTTGGGAATATGAACCATTTAAAATGCATGACTGGCATAGTAACAATTTTTAAATTATATGCATTTACTTATTTTGCTAAGTGATGAAATCTGTTTAATCACACCAAAACTCACTCAATTAATGCATCCTACAAGCATAAACTGAATGTTTATGTAGGATGTTTTTAGAGGTTCTGGCAGTAAACTGAAAAAAATATATACTTTACAGAAATAACCCATTTTGGAAATAAATATATGCCAGTGTTGTTTACATTCCTGCTACTTCACAATCTTGCAGGTCAGGTTGGGGAGCTTGCGCTGATTCAGCACGTTGCCGCACCCACCACACAGCAAAACTCTTCGGGATCCCAGCCGGCGACCCCCCCCTCCCCAGGCAGATACACGGTCCAGTCCCACCCTCTGGAAATGGCCATCCATTTGCCGCAGCCAGGTATTACATGGGCGTCCCCTTGGCCTGGTCCAGCCACTTGCGAGCCGGATCACCCTCAGGGAAATGCACCACATGTCCATAGTGCCGTAACTGACGCTCCCTCACAATGCAGGTAATACGCCTCATTGGGGACTCCTCTAGCAGCCTCTCATTCGACACAAAGTCAAACCAGCGGTACCCTAGGATTCTCCGAATAGACACAGTACCAAAGGAGTCCAGTCTTCGTCTTAGCTCACTGGATAGCGTCCATGTCTCACAGCCACACAGCAAGACAGGGAGCACCAGAACTCTAAAGACTTGGACCTTTGCCCCCCTATGGTCTCCCAATCCGTCTGCTGACTTCATAGGAAGAGTCACCAGAGACACAAATGTCGCTGCCGAGGAAAGTAAATGCCTCGACAAGGTTGATATTCTCCCCGCAGACAAACATTACTGATGGCTGTACATAAGAAATCATTAAATGCCTGGATCTTGGTCTTTATCCAGGACACCCACAATCCTGGACATTCAGACTCCTCGCTAAGTCTCTCGAGAACCTCCACCAGAGCCACCATTGACTCCGCTGAGATCAATGGCATCGTCGGCAAAGTCAAGATCAGTAAATCTTACTTCACCAATGGACGCCCCACAGCCGCTGGACCCCACGACCCTGCCCAACACCCAGTCCATACAAGCATTGAACAGAGTAGGAGCAACGACACACCCCTGGTGAACCCCAGAATCCACTGGGAAGAACGCAGAGGTTCTCCCTCCGCTCTGCACAGCACTTACAGTACCAGTGTACAGGCCGGCCATGACGTCCAGTACCAGTAGCTTTGGGGGGATCCCGCGAAGTCTCAGAATGTCCCTGCAAGTTGGAGGACCGCTTGCAGGGCCGGATGCAGTTTAATGTCAAATCCAGAACACAAGGACACATATCCAGATCAGTGTAAGCCAAATTCCCAATATCATTATAGATTTATGTCCCTTGACAGAGACGGACCACTAGTGTCTATCAAAGCTGTGGTGGTTGGGTTTTGCTATATAGTTTTTGCTCTCATCTTTTCTGATATTTGTTACAAGCCCAAAATGATCTACTCAGCTAAAAATACCAGTCATGGCCTAGCGATCAAACGAAAGTGAGCAGCTTTTGAACAGAGAACCTGAGCTCCTCCGAGAAGGTAATATCGGAAGAGGGCGCTGTTCTGTGGAGAAGCGCTTTTAGAAAGAAAGCGCGCTCTATATTCCTCATTTCCGGTTCTTTCATTTACATCCTAGTTCAGCGGAACACGAACGCCGCAGCAGCTCATGCTATTTGAGTTGGTTTTGCGGTAATTTTTTAGTTTCTAACTTAGGTGGAGGATTTCTTGTGAAATCTGCCGCCACCATGAAACTCGTACGGTAAGAATACGACGATACAGATTCTGTATTTATTATATCTGTCCTGTTTCATCATCAGTGATTGAAATGAAAATGGAGGCGTGCGTGCTGAATGGAGGGAATTTCGGAATTGCAGGACACATGAAGGTTTTAAGTTTGGAAGCGTGAACACGATGGTCGTTAATTTTAAAAATACGGCGATTGATGTATACACATGTGGTTAAGATTTGTGTAATATTCCCATTATGCCGCCTTAGTTGCGACCTAACAGACCCGATGCTCCTTACCATGCTTCTCAGTGGGTAGAGTCGGTACGCAACACATATTTTGGAATCTCATCTAGTGAACCGGTGAGCTTTTATGTATGTCTGTGAGTAATACATTGTAGATATTAAAGCAAGATGAGCTATAAATCTGCGGAAGGCAGCGAGTAATTGTAGGAATCGGCGCAGGCACAATAGTCCTTGTGTTACGTAAATTAATTGACAGACTGAAGTATTGTTTAGTTATCAAAATGAAGTAGCCGTCCCATGTCTCAGGTCAGAATAGGTTTGATTACTGCATATTTATAATTTTTTTTCCAAAGAACACAATTTGGTAAAATCCCCAGCAACAGAAACCCCTTTATTAGTAAATGACAAAAATGGACAAAAAGCCCTCGAGTGACTGCTGAGGTTTGATTTCCTTTTGTACTCTTGAAACACTGTATTTAAATTACTTATGGGCAAATGTCTCCCTGTGTTAAAAGTTATTTCTTTGAGAGAGAGTTTTGGTGTACAGTCTGTAAGAAGATCCCTGGCTAATGTTCTGTGTCGGCCTTCATTGCCATGCAGGTTTTTGATGAAACTGAGCCATGAGACCGTTACCATAGAGCTTAAGAATGGCACCCAGGTCCATGGCACAATCACAGGTGGGTCGCCTTCCTCAGAAGCTGGCAGACGTTTCCTTTGTGTTCTGCAAGTGCAAGTTGTTTGGGTTTGTGCTACATTTCAGAATCTCACCTGTAGAGCTGAATAAAATATTTTGATTTGCCGATGCTGGAAAAGTTCTGTTTTGGGCAACATTTCTCTTCGCCATATATCAGATTGAGTTTTGGATTTAGTGACTTGGGATGTTCTTCTCTTCCTTTCAGGAGTGGATGTCAGCATGAATACCCACCTAAAAGCTGTGAAGATGACCCTGAAGAATCGAGAGCCGATGCAGCTGGAGACCCTCAGTATCCGTGGAAACAACATCCGTTACTTCATCCTGCCGGACAGCCTGCCACTAGATACTCTTCTGGTGGACATTGAGCCCAAAATCAAGTCCAAGAAGAGGGAGGCGGGTAAGTGCAGCCCTGCAGACACCTCACTTTGTGATTCTTGGGTCTGGTGGCACTCTTGGATGGTATCCCGACGATGTCAGACGTGGGAATTGGGAGAGACCTCTGAAATCCGTTATTATATTGAGATTTGTTTGCCGATATGATATGAATCACGATTTTGAAACAGTTTTTGCTGAAAAGCATTACGGTCCACATTTATAAATAAAGACAAGGGCTGAAACGTTGTGCACATTTGTTGTGTGCCTTTGGATTTTTATTTTCAGTTTGTAACATGCAAAGAAATTATTTACATTTATTGACAAAGCTGAAAAACCTTCTCGCAACAGGCAGTCACACATCTGAGTATGTGTATGAGCAGAGATGGGTGCTCGTGCCAGGAAATTCAGGCTAAGCAAAAAATATCTAATGCTAAGTCCACACTGCATGATTTTAGCCCTGATTTCCCATTTGGCCCCTGTTTCTGGAGATCACTGACAGAAGCCCCAGATCGGAGACAAACCAGTGTTCACTTAGCACTGGCAAACTGGCGCTCAATAGCTATTTGTTGAAAGACACGACCCGACAGAGTCGGCGATGCGGCGCAGGTGCCTGTCCGATATCTGGCTGGCTGAATATATGGACCGGTCAGCGACTCCATATCCTGTAGCGTGAAAAGTGTTGCGACTGGCAGTGAGTGCAGCGACGAGCTACAGCCAATGAGAGCACAACACGCAGGGTGGGGTCGGAGGGAGGAGTTTACAAAGGTGTACAAAGGTGTACAAAATTCAGTTTGTGTACAAACTACTTAGTGTTCAGAGAAGATGATTCAATAAAAGTTTAAACTTCACACACTTGTGGTAATTTGTGGCTTTAGATTGAGATGGTGCAGGGAAAGTCTATGTACAGACCCTTTCATTCACGATGACTCCTGCCAAATACATGCATGTCAGTCCCTTAACAAAATCAGGCTGTGTGCAACTGGGAAAATTATCAGTAGCAAATGTGAGCAACATAATTTTAGTAATACATGTTTAAATTGATGTTTAGAAATCGATTTTTAACTCTTATGGTGATATTAAAATTGCCACCTTGAAGAATTGCGACTTGTAACAATCGACTTTCCCCTCTCTCCCCTGGATGACATATCGCAATAAAGCTTGTTAGGGATTTGTGTCCCATTTGTTTTGTCTGACTGAAGAGTGGCTGTGTAGAAGCTTCTGGATTGCTGGCATGAAGATGGAGCGAGTGTGTTCAGGTCTCTATGGAAGCAGTAATTGTTTTTCTTTATTTTTAGTGAGGTATGGTGCAAACCTTGATCTGAGCAACTACTCTGGTGCTGTCAAACATTCCCAGGGGAAAAGTATTCTCAGAAATGGGCAGCGTTTGCTTCCGTTTGTGTTCCTTGATTACATTTATGCAAGTTAACATGGTCTTCTGTTTGTCTTGCAGTGGCAGGCCGTGGCCGCGGACGAGGTCGTGGCAGGGGGCGCGGAAGAGGTCGTGGTAGAGGAGGACCCCGGCGATAAACTCCTCTCACCTCTGCTTGAATCACCACATTTTGTACATTTGGGTGTCAGCATATTTCTTGTCCATGATTGTTTTGGAAATTTTTGTTTACTTATAATAAACTTTTGGCCTGGTTAGTCTTGCGTTCATCTTGCATGTTTCCTGGTACTGGTCAGCCGTGGGAAGACCTCTTGTTTCATGGGGCACCTGGCGGTATTACGTAATGTGATGACACTGAATGTGTTCCCTTAGATCTTTAGAGTGTTCAGATGTAGTGAAGGTGAATGGTCCTTGTTTATGGCTTCATGCTGAGTTAATCAGCAGCTTCAATTAGCTGTGTTATGATTGGTTACATCTTGAAAAAAAACATGATTATTATTTATGAGTGTTCCTGGGAGACCCCTTAAACTGACCCCAAGAAATACTACTGAGTGAGGACATAAAATACAATTAGGATAAAACGCACACCGTGATTAAACAGAAGAACGTGTGCAGTGATCAGCTGCTTATTCATGGATCCGGGTAGCGGTGATTATCGTTTGGACCATTCAGTATATGCCAAGGAGGCTGAGAATTGTTGGGTCATCAAAACACCAAAGCAACGGGATCTGGACCAGGAGTGTGAATAGGCAATTCCCTCTGCTTACATCCTGCCTATTAAGCTGTAGCCTTATCCAGATTGTTATACACTTTTTGGACCAGAAAGGCTGTGTTCTGTAAAGTATTATATAATTAAACAGTGTTGGAGAGGGTTTGATATTGGAGGGGGGATACAATTTAATCATTTAAATCATTAAAAATACTGTTTACTTGGGGGGAAATTGAAGCCAAAATAAATCCTGGGAGGTACACCCCTTATCCACTCATAGTCATCCACTCCTGCTTCATACACTCTGCCCCTGGGTGTAATTGCATCTATCTGGGCGCATGTACAGTCAGTCACCAACTAACCGGATTCAGTTTTACCTTGTTAATTAAACATTTTTTGGACCAGAGTTCTCTCTCCAAAGACATTACCTTCGGTTTATTCTCCATTTGTCTTCCAGCTCATTAACTCCCCCCACAACACCACCACCTCCCCCAGTCCAGCTCCAGAACTGCTGTGAAGTGGTGCCTGTGCTTAACATCAGTGCTATTCATTTTTTTTTGACAGGCCCCCCTAGGGCTGATACATTCCACATATATGTTGTCCTGTCTTCTGTTTCTACTTTGCCATCACATTTTAACATGACTAGCAGCTAGAAATTCCCAGCATTAACATGTCAGCATTAACTGAGCAACTTTCCCACTGTAACATGTGTACACATGTTACATTTCTAGTCATAACAGTTCAATGTATTCAGCATGTGGTACCTGTTACGCATTTTAATTACTTTATTAGCATCATATAATGTGTATAGGCATACAATGTGTTCATGAAGGTTGCAATTTCAATCTCAAAATAGATCAACCCCCCCCCCCGATCAGCACCCCTCCGCTCAGTCCTGTTTAAATTTCCCCCAGACCAGTGCCCCCAGTGCCCCCTCCCCCACAGTTCCTTCACTCCCAGTCAGGGGGGCACACCCCACAGTTTGAATGCCTCTGTTTTACATTAGTTACATTATTGATGCTATACACGTGGAATCTATTTCAAAAGTATAGTATCATATACCATATAATCAGAGATTGATATAACTGATATGCAGATATGCATTTGCCATATAAAGTGATATGTGCAACAATTTCATGTTGTAACAGCACAAATGTGTACTAATTTTATTTGTATCTGTGCTGCTTTGAGAAGAAATGAACATGTATTTTATCCTTTATATGGCAAATTTGTACTTGCGTAGCAGTTATGTCAATCCCTGCATATAATATCTTCCCCATATAAAACTTTAAAAGATGTTGATTTGGTTGTGCAAGGATAACATTGTATGAAATTATGAAATTTCTCAAAATCTGCAATTTTAAACACAGATAATGTCTCAGCGACTCCAGGTAGCTGGGCATGTCTGTGAGGGGATTTAAGGGAATGGAGAGACAGTCCGGTGACAGCGGCCTCATCCAGTGGGGAGGGGGGCAAACATGCACACTTGGGCGTCTCCTTAGCTACTCGTGGTCCTGATGACGCCTTGTCTCGGCACCTTCCGACGCTGCCGGCGCCGCACGCAGAAGGTGTAGAGCGCGCCAATTGGGATGCAGCTGAGGGATGATGCCAGAAGCAGGCCGATGAAGACCTGGGCAAATGCCGGGTACTTTGTGGTCACTGCACGCCCCTAGAGGCAGAGGAGGGAAGTACACCTTCATAACAGAAGCCATATTAACACTGGTACACCCACCCCCCTTCAAGGCTATATATCCTAATGAAGACCTTAGGGATGGAAAAAGTAGCTGAGAGCAAATACAAGTTATAAATAACAGCTTTTTGTTGATGCATCAACAAATGTGACGAGAAACTGAGTTGTGGAGCGGAATCAACAGTTACCAGATCTTTATCCCAGGCCTGGTAGGTGGGCGTTCCCCCCATGATGTAAATGATGATGTAGAAGATGAACAAGCCAATGATAAGGATGGGACCCACGCCTGCCCACACAATCTTCCAGTACCAGTTGGGTCGATGGCCAATCATGTCTTCAATGTCATTTTCAAACCTGTCAAGATGTATCAGGCCAACAACTTACTATAATACACTCCTTCACAGGCAACCTAATTATAGTATACAGCGAACTTCCTTCAGAAAGCTCCTGCGTCAAGAATTTTGTGCAGCAGTTTGTTAAATCCTGGAAGAAAAATCACACAAACCTATCTAGATGTGATAATCCCTGCCTGAGTGAGGTAGGTCTACAATTCAACATAATATTACATAGACTGGCTCAGGTTAGGATGTTGTGCCTGTGATCAGAAAGCTGCTGGTTCCAATACTGTGACTGGCAGAGTGATTCGACCATTGGGCCCCTGAACAAAGCCCTTGACCCCCAGTTGCCCCGGGAACTGGCTGACTCTGCTCTCTCGATCATATGTCACTTTGGATAAAATCTCTGATAAATAAATAACAATGTAAAGTATAACACTAGGCTTTTGAAATGGAGGTAATTAACCCCCAAAATGATCACTGCAATCCATTTTCTGTACCTGCTTGTCCTATTCAGGGTCATATGGGGGGGGTTGTCTATGGACGCGAGGCAGAGAGTAACCCAGGGTGGGCTGCCATCCCATCGCCAACCATGCTCACCTATGGGCAATTTGGCAACTCCAATTCACCTCAGCAGGTTTTTTTTGGACTGAGGGGAAAACCAGAGAAACTGGAGGAAACACCATGACCACTGGCGTGCACAGATAGAGACGAGGTGGTGCTGAAGCACTTGCCCTTTTGCCCTCAGTCCAAAAAAGTGCCCTTTTGAAAGACGTGA